CTACATGTCTTTGCTAAAAAAAAATCCCAATACTTGTAAATTAATTGGTTTACGTGAAAGCTATAGCGTCTACAAATGGCGGTATATATACTGGGATTTTCCTTCTTTTTTTTTTACTAGTAATTAGGGCATTCTGACACTGGGGGGGAGGGACTCACTTGGCGTCACTGACATCCCCAGTAACACCAATACAGTGATCAGTGCTAAAAAAAAAGCACTGATACTGTACTAATGGTACTGGGCAGGAAGGGGTTAACATGAGGGGCGATCAAAGGGTAACTGTGTGCTGTTTTACTTGTGTCTGTGCCCATGTGCTTCACTGTAAGCACACTGCTTTGCATGGCTATGCTGTGCACAGCCATGCAAAGCAGTGTGCACAAGCTGACAGGGAGGAGAACTGTTTTGTTTACAAACAGTTCTCCTCCCCGTCACAGATGCTCGGCAATCACTGGCCCGGGACCCAGTAATTGACAGCCACTAATGGCAGCACGGGTAGGGCGTATGCCCCCTACCCAGAAATGCAAAATCAGATATATATACATGATTTTGCGTACCCGTGCCGCCCTGTAGCAGTATTTCTGCTATAGGGCGGTCAGGAAGCGTTTAAGACTCAAATGTGCTGTGAGCAGCTGGTCAGTATTGAGACTCAAATATGCTCCAAACAGCTGGTCAGTAGTGAGACTCAAATGTGCATTGAGCAGCTAGTGAGGTCTGATCACTCACATATAGGGCCTGCTTTATACACTGATTGCTCACAGGAAACAGAATGTGGAATCACATGGTTAAAACCTTTAGTAAATACAGAAAGCTGTAATCCTCTTTAAATAGTATATATCTTATAGGATATGATAGAATGTGATAATATTTACAAATCAGTTGATAATAAAAGCACAAGAAAAATATTTTTTTTACAAGCCCAGACAGAAGAATAATTTTTTGAATCCAGTTGATTATAGCACAGACATAAAATCCATAGGCTGCAGACACTGATAGGAAAACTGACTTTATGATCTTTGTGCTTGAAGAATGGACATAACCACTTGCCTACCGGGCGCTTTTACCCCCTTCCTGCCCAGACCAATTTTCAGCGCTGTTGCACTTTGAATGACAATTGCGCGGTCATGCAACACTGTACCCAAAGTAAAGTTTTATCTTTTTTTTGAGACAAATAGAGCTTTCTTTTGGTGGTATTTGATCACCACTGGGGTTTTTTATTTTTTTCTAAACAAACTCAAAATTTTGAAAAAAAAAAAGTTTTTCTTAGTTTCTGTTATAAAGTTTTGTATATAAGTAATTTTTCTCCTTCACTGATGGGCACTGATGAGGAGTCACTGATAGGCTGCACTGATAGGTGGTGTTGATGGGCAATATTAGGTGACACTGATGGGCAGCACTGATGGGCACTGTTAGGGGGCACTGATGGGCACTGTTAGGCAGCACTGATGGGCCTGTTAGGCAGCACTGATGGGCACTGTTAGGCAGCACTGATGGGAACTGTTAGATGGTACTGATGAGCATTTTAGGCGGCACTGATATGCGGCACTGATGGGCATTGATACATGTCCCCCTGTGAAATGCTGCTTACTGGCTCTCCTCTCCTCACGCGCTGTCAGTGGAGAGGACTGCCAATAATCGGCATTTATTATTTACCGTTGATTAGCTGTGATTGGACAAAGCGATCACAGATCGTACGCAGTATGTTCCCCAGGGGGCGTGGTTTTGGATGGACGTCCACGGATTCCCTCCCAGAACTAGCCAACCGCGCTGCAGGCATCTTTCAGCTATAGCGCGGTCAGGAACAGGTCAAAGGATAAGTTCACCTTTGGAACATGTTACATGTTCCACTGGTTTTTAAGGTGGAACATGTAACGTTCCCATAGCTGTAGCTGCGCCCGCCACTCCCCTCCCTCTGACAGATAATACGGGGAGAAGTTTCTCTGTACTATCTGTCAGATTTGAAAACAGTACGGCCATGTGGAGCTCCGCCCACACGGCCACATCATTAATTCCCAGACTTCCGTGAATGAATGAACTGCAAGTCCCTACGGCTTTAGCGGAAGTGGGCTTGTAGTTTTCAATGAACTACTATGGCGCTGTGGAGCACCGTGGTAGCTCATTGAAGCTTCCTGTCAGTATATCAGCTTGCTCGTACATCCGGTACAGCAAGAAGATATTTTGACAGGTCTGCAGGAGACCTGCATGGCACCAGCAATCTACTGATTGCTGATACAATGCTTACCAGGCTCCTGCAGACAAAAATAATAAATGCACATTTTTTTTAACTGAAAAAAATGTGCATTTATCATTTTTGTCAAAAAGGTGAACTTATCCTTGTATGACAAAGAATCAACTATGCAGGTTTTGTATCAGTAAAAAGGAATGTTATGACATATGCCATTCTGATCACATGATTGTTGACCTTTTATATTGCTGGTACACACCCTGTGCAGGGAGCTGGTATAGCTCAGGTCCCTGTGATCAGAGTGTATGGGTGGAGGCCACATAAATGTCTGATAAGAAAATACACAGACAGCATTGGCTTTCATAACACATTTCATTTTTTTGATGCCTATATTGTTAGTATGTATGCAGTTTCCTAACTGACATAAAACATATTTTAAAATAAAAAAGTTATGACATACAAGACTACATATAATACGGATATAACAGAAGATTTTATTTATTTTAAACAAAGATGACAAAACACACCAAAACCATTTTTCCACACTACTCAGGCATATTCTTCTGGCTCTTCCTCTGTTTAATCATACTACCAGTACTCCTCGCAGTTATGGAGTAGGGATATTTTTATGACCAAAATAAAAAAAAAAAAAATCTATCACCAAGTTTAAACTTAGAAATACAGATTTTTATATTAATTACCATAAAAACAGTCTAGTTCCTGCAGGATCCTGCCTTGTTCATATTTGATCAGAAACAATGGAGGCATAAGAAGATTACAGGGTGTATTTATCAATTTTCCCAGTACGTGTTTATTAGATATTCACCCAAGTGAGATTCAATGACATTTCACCTGTATTCCACAGTCAATATATTAAATATTTATAATAAACAAAATACAGCAAGGCCCCCTTCCTAGAGCTAAGAAGACTGACGCAACAGCCAGTGACAGCCCTCTGACTTTATCATGTACAATGCAAGACCAGTAGTGGTTAGAAGTAAAATTAGCAAACATCCCAGCGAACAGTGCAGAGACCAAAAGTAAAAGAAATGTACAGCTCAGCGTACAGGGTGCAGAGGCCAGGAGTACAGAACATGCAGCCCAGCATACGTAGAGCAGGGATCAGTAGTACATATTGTACAGCCCAGCATACCAGGTACAAGGGTTCAGGAGCATGTAACATAAATAGCACAGGGGTCAAGAGTATGCAACAAAGTGTCTAAAAGAAGTAATTGAGCTAGTCCAGACCAGGGGGACTGACCATTTGGAAACTCGGGCACTGCCCGAGGGCCCGGGGTCAGTAGGGGGCCCCATGAGATGCCCCTGGTACCTTTTTCATAGGCTTTTTGAGTTTGGGCAAGGACACAGGGGCCCCATGATCCCCTATTGCCCGGGGGCCCCATGAGTTGTCAGTCCGCCCCTGGTCCAGACCCACTTCTTCTATGAGAAATCTTTAGCTTCTGTAAACGATACAATTACCAACTTTGACAAAGCTTGGAAACCCTGGTCGGACTGGTTCAGAACTGTAACTTAAGATATTATTATGTTTAAAATGATTATTTTGTGGAACTATTAGGATTTTTAGGAACTATTCAATTTTTCCTTTTTTCCCTTTGTTAAACTTTAACGCAGCACCTATACTGTGATATGGTGTAGATTTTTACAGTCATATTTCTGTTTTTTTGTTGTTGTAACTATATTTGGAAAACCAAATAAAAATGTTTTATGGAAAAAAAAGAGTATGCAAAACGTGCAGGGGTTAGCAGTATGTAATATAGACAGTGCAGGGGTCAGAAGTATGTTATTTACAGTGTGCAGATGTCAGGAGTGTGTTGTTTACAGGGGGTAGGAGTATGTAGCTTACACAGTGCAGGGGCAGGAATATGTAATGTATAGAGTACAGGGATATACTCACTTCGATTTTATATTGAGCTGTTGGTATGCAGCATCTTCACACTTTATGTACAGAGGTCAGAAATATGTAACATACATAGCACAGGGGTCAGGAGCATGTAATGTACAAAGTGCTGGGGTCAGAAGTATGTTATGTACAAGATGCAGAGGTCAAGACTATATAATGTCCAGAGTGCAGGGTTCAGGAGCATGTGTTGGAAACCACAATATTTTGTTATATATCAGAAATACCCTCTAGCGGCAAGGCACGGAGGTAAAAGAGCCTTGCCTCAGACTTCCAGGTGATATGGAGATTAAAATGACTGAGTTCCTTGCTTTCAACAAGACCAAAGGGCCACCTGGTGCTGGAATGCTGACTTGGATCAAAGAACTTGCCTGCAGTGTAATAACGCCATATGGTGGAGGATATCGAGGAAAACACCATACTTCCTGGTAGTTAACAAGGACAGCCCTGGTAAATACTTGTCTTTTGCTCACTGGACAGAGGATTATACAGGGTCGTCAGTATGGGTGGTGTTTGTGAGTGATATAGAAGTGAGAGGGCCAGCTATGATCACTCTCTTCTTCCTGGAGCCCAGCTAAGATACAGAACGTTCTGGACGGAACTTTCATAACATATCATCTCTGCTCTTTTGTTTCTATATGCTCTGTAATATTCTATGTTAGTGTTTTACTTTCTTTGCATATAAATAAGATCTTTGCTTCATTGAGCATTGTGTTTATTATTATAGCTAATTTTATTAAAAGTATCACTCAGAGCATTACTGAATAGCCAATTATAGGAGCAAACAAGATAGAGATACACTATATTGCCAAAAGTATTGGGAAACCCCCTCCAAATCATTGGATTCAGGTGTTCCAATCACCTCCATGGCCACAGGTAAATAAAATCCAGCACCTAGGCATACAGACTGCTTCTACAAACATTTGTGAAAGAATGAGTCACTCTCAGGAGCTCAGTGAATTCAAGCGTGGTACCGTGATAGGTTGCCACCTGTGCAATAAGTCCATCCATGAAATTTCCTTGCTACTAAATATTCCACCCTCAACTGTTAGTGGTATTATAACAAAGAGGAAGCAACTGGGAAAAACAACAACTCAGCCACAAAGTGATGGGCCAGGTAAAATGACAGAGCGGAGACAACGCATGCTGAAGCACACAGTGCGCAGAAGTCGCCAACTGTCTGCAGAGTCAATAGCTAAAGACCTCCAAACTTCAAGTGGCTTCAGATTAGCACAACAACAGTGTGTAGAGAGCTTCATGGAATGGGTTTCCATGGCCGAGGAACTGCATCCAAGCCTTACATCACCAAGTGCAATGCAAAGCGTTGGATGCAGTGGTGTAAAGCACGCCACGACTGGACTCTAGAGCAGTGAAGACGTGTTCTCTGGAGTGACGAATCACGCTTCTCTGTCAGGCAATCCGATGGAAGTGTCTGGGTTTGGCGGTTGCCGGAAGAACAGTACTTGTCTGACTGCAAGTGCCAAGTGTAAAGTTTGGTGGAGGGGGGGATTATGGTTTGGGGTTTTATTTTTCAGGGGTTGGGCTTGGCAACTTAGTTCCATTGAAGGGAACTCTTAAGACATCAGCATACCAAGACATTTTGGACAATTTCATGCTCCCAACTTTGTGGGAACAGTTTCGGGATGGCCCCTTCCTGTTCCAACATGACTGCGCACCAGTGCACAAAGCAAGGTCCATAAAGACATGGATGAGTTAGTTTGGTGTGGAGGAACTTGACTGGCCTACACAGAGTCCTGTCCTCAACCCAAAAGAACACCTTTGGGATGAATTAGAGTGGAAACTGAGAGCCAAGCCTTCTCATCTGACATCAGTGCCTGACCTCACAAATGTGCTTCTGGAAAAATGGTCAAACATTCCCATAGACATCAATATATAAAACAAGCATGCAGCGCTCCTATATGATATAAAACAAACAAAATACCAAACGCATGTATATTACTTCGAATTTGAGAAATATGCTTATATATGTGCAAAATGGTGCATAACGCACATGGCTATATAACGCCAAGCATGGATAAGTTCATGAGTGGATTTCCCAAGTTCAAACGTGAGGATGAGTGACAGTCAGCTCATATTTCCCCAATCATCCATTTTTAGGATGTATATATTGCCTCCTGTTACCAAACATGCACATTGTTATATGCTATTAGCACTGTAATATTGTGCCTTCAGCATGAGAGAGAGGTGAAAGTAGAGTGACTATTCATACACTCTGTCTGTTCACTTCCCATGTCTGTAAATAGAAGCTTCAATACTCATTGAGCTTCAACAAAATAGCTGCCGCGGGCGCGAACTGCGCATGCGCGAACCGGCAAGCGCGAACTGCGCATGCGCGAACAGCGGGAACGCCGATTACATTTGAATGTGCTACTATATATATACTTGTTCAGTCACTGAGGGGGCCAGCTTTCTTTGAGAACGTGCGTGGCACGAAATATGTCAGATAGCTGCCCTCAGTGACTTTCTATCCACGTGGACCTCTTCTTCTTGTCTGGCCAATGGGCCCCTTTTTTGCATATTATGTGAGTTATATTTTATCATTTTACTGCAAATTCTAAATAAAGTAATGCTGCACTTAGATATTTTTGTCCTCTGGCTCATTTTTGCTTGAGCCAATTTTCCCCAAGGAAACTATTGGATACTCTCCTGAGCTCTTTTTCCCCCTGGTGGTCATACTATATGCTTTGGGATACCTGGTCTGAAGTGATCCTGGTTGCTGGCTCCCTCCGGTGGTCTTCAATCATACCCCTGCCATTTGGAAATCCTGCTGTAATGCTGCAATAGATGTTGCCCTAATCAGAACACCTGGGTCCAGATGCTCACACCTAGATGATCTCATCATCTACATGCGTTTATATAGCGCTATCTGGTTAGTGCATATTATTCTCTTTTCTTCACCATTTGATGTCACGAATATATTGAAGTTTGCTACAAACAGACTGTCACTCATCCTCACGTTTGAACTTGGGAAATGCACTCATGAACTTATCCATGCTTGGCGTTATATAGCCATGTGCGTTATGCACCATTTTGCACATATATAAGCATATTTCTCAAATTCGAAGTAATATACATGCGTTTGGTATTTTGTTTGTTTTATATCATATAGGAGCGCTGCATGCTTGTTTTATATATTGATGTCATCCTAAGAGGTTTTTTGAGGTTTTACCCTTTTATGCTAAGCTGCTCCACTATATAGATCTAGCGCTCGTTTTTCTTAGATATGTGTTTGATTCCCATAGACACACTCCAAAACCTTGTGGACAGCCTTCCCAGAAGAGAGTTGAAGCTGTTATAGCTGCAAAGGGTGGGCCAACTCAATATTGAACCCTACAGACTGACTGGGATGCCATTCAAGTTCCTGTGCGTGTAAAGGTAGGCATCCCAGTACTTTTGGCAATATAGTATGTATATATACAGTGAGGAACAGAAGTATTTGAACACCCTGCGATTTTGCAAGTTCTCCCACTTAGAAATCATGGAGGGGTCTGAAATTCACATTGTAGGTGCATTCCCACTCTGAGGGACAGAATTAAAAAAAAAATTCAGGAAAACACATTGTATGATTTTTAAAGAATTTATTTGTCTTGCACTGCTGAACATAAGTATTTGAACACCTGAGAAAATCAGTGTTAATATTTGGTACAGAAGCCTTTGTTTGCAATTACAGAGGTCAAACGGTTCCTGTAGTTCTTGACCAGGTTTGCACACACTGCAACAGCGATTTTGGCCCACTCCTCCACTCAGATCTCCTCTAGATCTGTCAGGTTTCGGATCTGTTGCTGAGCAACACGGAGTTTCAGCTCTCTCCAAAGATGTTCTATTGGATTTAGGTCTGGAGACTGGCTGGGCCACTTACGGAGCCACTCCTTGGTTATCCTGGCTGTGTGCTTCGGGTCGTTGTCATGTTGGAAGACCCAACCACGACCCATCTTCAATGCTCTGACTGAGGTAAGGAGGTTGTTGCTCAAAATCTCACAGTAGATGGCCCCATTCATCCTCTCCTTAATACAGTGCAGTCGTCCTGTCCCCTTCACAGAAAAGCACCCCCAAAGCATGATGTTACCACCCCCATGCTTCACAGTAGGGATGGTGTTCTTGGGATGCAACTCATCCTTCTTTTTCCTCCAAACACGAACGAGTGAAGTTTAGACAAAAAAGTTCTACTTTTGTCTCACCTGACCACATGACTTTCTCCCATGCCTCCTCTGGATCATCCAGATGGTCATTGGCAAACTTCAGACGGGCCTGGACATGTGATGACTTGAGCAGGGGAACCTTCCGTGCAATGCATGATTTGAAACAATGACGGCGTGGTGTTCTACCGACAGTGACCTTTGAAACTGTGGTCCCAGCTCTCTTCATGTCATTGACCAGCTCCTCCCTTGTAGTTCTGGGCTGATTCCTCACCTTTCTTATCATCATTGATACCCCATGAGGTGAGATCTTGCATGGAGCCCCAGTCCGAGGGAGACTGACAGTCGTCTTTAGCCTCTTCCATTTTCTAACAATTGCTCCAACAGTTGATCTATTTTCACCAAGCTGCTTGTCAATTGCCCAATAGCCCTTTCCAGCCTTGTGGAGGTCCACAATTTTGTCTCTGGTGTCTTTTGACAGCTCTTTGGTCTTGCCCATGGTAGTAGTTGGCATCTGACTGACTGTGGGGTGGACAGGTGTCTTTAAAGAGCTCAGACAGGTGCTACTAAGTTAAATTAATGAGTGGAATAGAGGTGGACTTTTTAAAGGCACAGTAACAGGTTTTTGAGAGCCAGAATTTTTGCTGTTTCTTAGGTGTTCAAATACTTATGTTCAGCAGTGCAAGACAAATAAATTCTTTAAAAATCATACAATGTGATTTCCTGAATTTTTTTTTTTAATTCTGTCTCTCAGAGTGGGAATGCACCTACAATGTGAATTTCAGACCCCTCCATGATTTCTAAGTGGGAGAACTTGCAAAATTGCAGGGTGTTCAAATAAGTCTGTTCCTCACTGTATGTATATATATATATATATATATATATATATATATATATATATGGAACTAGCATCAAGCGTAGAGCTTTTGAAGCACACAGCCACTCGCTTTCTTCTTTTAAGGGGTTTTCTGCATTTCACTCTTCAAAAAAACTGATATTTAGCCTCCTGGCTTGTACACACTTATGCCACTCTGGCCTTCTACTTCAGGGTCACAGCTGTCTCCTGCAGACTCCTTCCTAAATGGCTTATTGCACACAGCTAGCAGCCCCTTGCTGCTCTGGTTCCCACCTCTCCTAGGTGGACCTCTCCTGACTCCTGGGCAACGATCTGCTGTCGGCCAGGGTGGAGCCCAGAACCCTAGTCAGGTTAATATTTAAAGCCCTGCACACACCTGTACAATTAATGTGCTGGGGGTTCAGAAATAATGAACCCAGGATTGGAGATTTCATCCCTCCCAGATCACTTTGAAATCTCCAGGTTCCAGATCCCAAAACGGACTTTATGAACAAATGAGGAAACTGAAAAGCCAGTTTCCTCTGTATTACGTAAACCCTCTGGATCCTCTCAACCTGTTTAGTTGAGAATCCTGGGATATAACCTTGATTCTCACAGTGACAGTACCTAGATCTGCCACTATATATATATATATATATTTTACCTAGGGGGCAGAACCACCCCCTATTTATTTCAGCATGTAATGTACAAAGTGCAGGAGTATGTTATGTACAAAATACAGTTGACAGGAGCGTGTGTGTCTCATGGACACGCAGAGCAGGTCTAAGGAGTGAGCATGCACAAGTGCCCTCAAAGCAAGAGGCTTGCTATTGGGGGCACCTGGAGAATATGAGGGGTCCTGGAGCTCCAACAGGGGACCCTGGAAGAGGAGGATCAGGGCTGCTCTGTGCAGAACCATTGCACAGGGCAGGTAAATGTATTATGTTTGTTATTTAAAAAAAAATGAAACATACTGTACCTTTAATATCACTTTAAGCTAAAAACCACAGACAATTAATTACAACTTTAATGGAATGCCCCCTAAAGCTCATGTACAACATATGTTATCTATACACATGGTCACAGGAATAGAACAAAGTGAATAAGCCTTGTGGGTGGCAGGAAGATCTAATAAAGACCATCAAAGAGGGGACATCTGGTGGATTCATTTTTTCGCCTGGTGATCCTGCCAGTAAAACACTTCCAGTCCTGAGGTGACAACGATCACTGACTGCACTCTGTCTATGTGGAGAAGCACTGTCACTTTAGGGCAGGTTAGGTTAAGTGTGTTAGGACCAGGGGTGGACTGACCATTTGGAAACTCGGGCACTGCCTGAGGGCCTGGGGTCAGTAGGGGGCCCCATGAGATGCCC